AGACACCTGAGGGAACATGCAAAACATTTTACTGGGTATGATAAAGAGATTAAATATGTGTGCGAAGAAGAAAGAACATTTGTGCGTACAGTGTACAAATAGTATTCATTATTAATGTAAAAAACAAAACAAAACAAAAAACATCTGACCTGGAAAGAGCTGCAGGTCCCACGACCTCATACTCCATCTTGGAGAAGATGTCCTGGATGGCGGCGCGCTCGAAGTCTGTCCATTCAACCATTTTGCCGTCTGTAGATTTTCTTGTGCAGGTTAATAGATCCTGCTCACCGGCACTAGATGCAGCTTTTAAAGAAACCCTACACCCCTTCGAGAAACAAGCGATTGGGTGGGCTGGAAAAGCGATGTGGGATTTGCACCAATGATAATGGTTATCTGCGCCCCTCATATTGTTTCTGAGACAGAAATAGAACACAATTATCTCTGTTTATCTAGTGTCAGCATACAATTCATGTCGTGTTCTAAATGGTGCAGTTTCAGAACTGCATCATATTGATTTAGTTACTGTACAGTTTAATGACTGCAGTAATTATTATTTGCTTATTACTTATCCCTGGCTTCATGACATATATTATACTATATACGATATTATAGGCTTATCTGTGGGCAAGGTTAACAAGTGAAGTGGAAACAAACTCAGGTCCCTGGGGGCTCCATGTTCATGTCATGTAAATTGGTTTGTTGTTATTTGAACTGTTTGGGAATATTCGCTACCAAAGCAAAATATAAACTGAGGTATACGGGCTTTAGCATGCATGCATTGCCTGTCCTGTAGTAATATCTTGGAATATTTACATGATGCAAACGGGGGTCAATCGGGACCCCTTGTCGGTTTAATATGGTTAATTTAATGTGTGTGAAATCAGTAAGCGATCGCAAATTATATTTATTTTCGTTTATTTATTTATTTGATTTTGTTATTATTAAAATATCATGCACGGATCATCTCAGTGATACAATTTTTGTATATAAATTAATTAATGGTCTACACTAGTTTACAAATACACATGATCGGGGTGATGTGGTCCAATCCCAGTTGCAAAGGGATTATCCATAAAGGTTTCATTCAGAAGAAGTGACCATGTATAATAACTAATTTCTTATATTCTGTGTTATATTCTGTGGTTTAAATGCAAGGCTATAGATAAGAACAGCTACATCCTTTAACTTTTTTGTAATTGCTATTTCCATTTACTTTAGATTTTAAAATAAACAAATAAATAAATAAAAAACTGACACCCAGGTATATTTTTGTTTTTGTGTTTTTATTGAACAAGCACCCATCGAAAGGGGTGTTGACATTGTTGGATGGCATGCCACACATTGGCAGTCGATGCTTCTGTGTCATTGTTGGAGTTTAGCGGTATCTCTCAGACAGAGCCCAAGCCAGGCACTGTAAGAACTTGTCAACTGACACGTGGACCTCTGGAGTGAAGTCTGCGGGGAAGTACATGGCCATAACCAAGATGATGTTGTGGGCCAGGATCTGCGGTTGTGCAAGAAACACAGGTTAGAAGTCAGTCAATGATTTGTTTTTTGTTAAATCCAGTTTCCTGGTGGGACAGGTGTACTTTTATTGTGTGATATTATGTATGCTCTTAGATGGATGATTATTAACCTCAACAACTTCAACGACCTAATTTTGTTTTTACCTTAAAGTTGGCCGGATCCACCCGGAGCTTGAAGGCATGCAGCTCACTGAGGGCGTTCAAACTATTGGTAAGATCATCAATGTTTTTGACTGCTTTCCCCACAGCGGCCATGATGGTTGCACCGTGTTTCTGCACCTGTGGGGTTTGAGCGTTCAACTCACTCCCCCACTGGGAGAAGTAGGTCTTGGTCTGCGGGTAGGAAACCAACATCCTAAAGATTATGAACAGAAAGAAAAAATAAATGGTTAGTAGTCACAATTAAGACATGGATTCAAAGCTTGTACCGAAACATGCTTGTTGTATTTCATTATACATTGATAGTAGTAGTAGTAGTAGT